ATGGCAGTCACTCATACGGATTAAAGAGTAAATGACAACCACAGATGGGTGCGATACCCTTTCCCTCCTTCAGCACTCTACTGCGACGGTCCCAAGGAGGATGACTCGGAACAAGTCAGGTGGAGCTAGACAATGCCCACTGAACTCATGGATCGATTATGGCATGGCCGTACATGTATTTTTCCTTCTCTGTGTGGGAAGCCACAACCGTCATTATAGCTATGCCACGCTGATGTGGCCTGACAGGACCAGAACAAATGTACATGGCTGTTACTTGGATGGGTTACTTTTGTTTTAAAGGTTACTTATTCTTTCAAAAAAGGTGTGGTCCTTGTAACACTACGGTTACCGCCCAAACGTGCATTCTGTGGCTTCAAATACAATTTACCGCGGTACCATTTATCCAATTTCTGCCGGTATTTCAATTGCAGAATCAAAACGAAATTTAGGTCAGTTATTTTGTTATCGTCAGTGACAGATTAAAAAGTTTTTGCCGACACGAGTTAGAATTAGCCACTTATCTGTAACGAACGGAAACAATAAGGTTTATTGAATATGTTGATTTGCAAACAGACGACGGTGGGAACAAAGTTGTTTACCATAATGAAACCGAAACCGAAACGCGACACTTGCACTTGCACTTGCATTTAGAACAATGCGTACCCAGGTCGTGCTCATGTGCGACCACATCCTTTCTTAGCATCCACACTTTTTAGTGATCTGCTTCTCATTTCACAATGCGTTTTCAAAACATTGAACAAAGCTCTGAGCATGATTTGATCCACCTCCCCTTTACTGGGAAATAATTGGCGGTCAGAAGGCCCTGCGGTTACTTTGTTGCTAACTTGGAGAGGACAGAAATACAGAATGAAGAAAGTTCATATCGACATTACACCAGCTATCAAGTTTTTCCATTGGTCTTCAATGGCCTCCAATGGCCTTCAATGGTCGGAGAAGCGGGCGAGCGCATTTAAAAGTTTCAGGTCGGTCATTGGTTTGAAATGAACTTCTGACCGAAAAGTTGCCTATGTTTTTGTCACGTTTGAATGAAATTAGTGGAGATTGCGAAAAGATAGTATCAGTTTCTGAATCGTTTTGGTGTAATTTGAAGTTTCTTAGAATGATAGATTTAACTGCATTGTTGTGAGGGTGAAATGTGAGAGCGGATGGAATGCGGTCAGTGTTTTCTTTCTCGGCCGTTTGCAGTGCTGACTGTCGATCAGTTTGCTGGGCATGGTGGTGGCCCGCTTGAACGACAGAAACAGGATAGCCACGTTCAAACCAATGACCGACCTGGAACTTTCAAATGCACTCGCTCACGATGCAAAACTTGTCCTTTCATTCATAACGCAGAGAAAATGTCGGGACCTAAGAGATCTATTAAGATCACTAATCACTTCACATGCACCTCCGCCAATGTGCTTTACTGCATAACTTGTACTTATTGCAAAAAGTTATACATTAGTGAAACAGGAAGACGACTAAGTGACCAATTCTTAGAACACCATGAAATCTGGTAATGAGGTGTGGACGTGCGTTTGGTCTCTCCGTCTTATTCTCTCTTTTTTCCTTACTGCTCGACCGCTTGACAGCCAAAACGGCGGCAATTGGTTTCTAAATATTCAGTGTCGCTTTCAACTCTCTTCTGGCCAGGATGAGGGCATATTGGCTGTGGAAATTCGAGATTTGGATGTTTCATCGTTTCTGACCTCGGGGAAATTTGGTTCCGCTACAAGATTAGGGAACAAAACTTCAGTTCTTCCGATGTAGTAGTGTCCTCGCGAAACGATAAAGTAAACAAAAACACAGTGGCCTGGACTAGTGTTTGTCGGAACATTAAAAATCTTATCAAGATTACTTGTTGTCACAACAACCCTACTCCGTTACGACCACTTAATTTTCTGCTTACGGAACTGCCAGTCCGTACGACATAAGACTGCAGTTTTCCAAGAATATCTGTGTAGTAATAAGATTGATGTATGTGCATTAACAGATACTTGGCTATCCTCGGATGGTGAGGCGGTTAGAGCTGAATGCATTCCTATTGGATACATGCTTCATGATCAAATACGCTCTCAGCGAGGCGGGGGTGGTATCGCTCTGTTGTCTCGCACAGAACTGTCCGTGACCCCTCACACTGCTGGGGAAAAGACCTCGTTTAAGTTTACTGAATATATTGTCATCTTAGGAAACAACAAAGTCAAGGTAGCCTTTATCTATCGGACATTATATAATGAGCTCAGTTATGCACGCATTCTGATTGGTTCTCACTTATGATCTATTGGAAGACAGACGTATAGATGACGTCATCGTTAAAACTTTTTTTCCCTATATTTTAATTCTTTATTTTATAAAACAAATAGATTCCAAGTTGCCGTGCGTCTGCTTGCTAATGATTTTGGGAGATTCTTTACACAAAAGATCGACGACATTCGCTCAAAGCTGGATAGAATTGACTCCTCATCAAATCAACCTGACTACGTCCAAGAGTATTCATATGCTGGCACACCCTTCACTAATTTCCGGCCTATATCGTCTAAACGTATCAAAAAACTGGCGCTGAATGCCAGATGCTTCCAGAATTTTAACTTTTGAGTAGGAGCCTCACCTGCTATAGGTGAGCAAAGTTCCTCCGACGGCTCGTGCTTACTTCTTACATGTAAAAAAAAACCTGTGTTCCTCTTTTACATTGGAAAAGTTTCCCAGGGA